CCTTCACTGTAATACCTAATTGTAATATATTCATATTAATTAATAAAGATTTACAGCGTATAAGCAATTTACAAACAAAAAAAAAAAAAAAAAAAAAAAAAAAATAATTTTTTATATAGTCTAGGAGGGGTCAAGAGCTACTATGTAGGGGTACATAATGTTATTTATGGATGCCACCTTATTGCCAAAACAATCCCATGTTTATGTCCTATTCATCTGTCTAAAAATATAAAGTGTAAACAATGCCAATTTTTTAAAGAAAGTAAGCTAAATTACCTACTTTTTTGTTAAAAATTTTAGTGAGATTAGCAAAATACAAAAGAGAGAAAAAAATACTTGGAACTACTAAAAGAGCACGAGTTTTCTTTTACTAGAATCAACTATACACCCAAGCCTGCATAGTACTAAGTCTTATTAATGAGTAATAAACTAAGCTTGTCAGCAAGTAGTATATGAGAACTACTTCTAAATGACAAGTACTATGTCTGCAGTTAGTAAGTGATAAACTCTAAAGCTATTATCAGATAGTGTATGAGAACTACTTCTAAATAACAGCTGCTAACTTGTGATACCTTTTCCCATATCTTATATAAAAGTTATTGACTTTACTCTAATATACTGTTTTTTTTCCTAGTAAAAAGTTTTTTGAAAATTGTAGTCCAAATAATCATTAGAAAGAGTTGTTATATCTGTAAATAAGATTTTTTTTATTATTAATTACTTCTTTGTTGTAAAATAAAACTAAAGCTAGTCTTTTATATAAATATATATAATATATATATTTTTCTTTTTCTTTACTAGTTTTTTATTTTTTGTTATTAAAACTAACTTTTTTTTTTTTTTAAATACTTTGATAAAATAAATATTAAGCTTTAGTATTATATTATTATTTAAAAATACAAAATAAGACTAGAAGCTAGTTTTTCAAATAAGTATTTACTTTTTTTTTCTTTAACAGTTTTTTTTTTTTTTATACCAGAACTACTTTCTTTTTTTTAATATTTTTTTTATTTAAAATTAAAGAGATTAAAGTTAGAACTAGAGTTAAAGTTAGTATAAAATATTCTCATCAATTTGAATTGGTAATTACTAAAGCATTTTTTTTCAAACTTTGAATTAGAATATCTCAGTAATTATCTATATTTTTTGTTGGTTACACACAGGATTACCCTAGTAAATTTTTCAAAACAGTAAGAGTGCACCTAATTCCAACATTAAATTTTTTTATTAAGGCAGTTTTTGCGGCAGGTTGAATCATATTTACCACTGCTTATATACAGGCTGATTCCAGATTATGCGTATAGCGTTATATAGATAACAACAAGCTTGTAAAGTTATGGCTAATTCTTGATATTTGTAAATCTCTGCCAAAATTTACTGCGTTACAAACTCATGTGATAATTCAGTGCTACGATAACGATAAATAAAGGCATTTATGAATTGTCTGCTTTATACACTTTTTGAACAGTTGAATTTAGTGGGATCCAATGATGTCCGTAAATTCGACGGAAGTTAACCCTGTAAATGATAAGAAGTCGTCACAACTGCTGTTTTTTGACACTTTGACAGCGAATAACCCCTCCAACAGTGACGAATTACCTACAGAGTCAGTAGAGTGTATAAGATTTAGCCAGCGTGTCATATTATCAGAAATTAGGATAGTGCCAAAAAACACATGTCCCTTCAAGGGAAGCCGTAAAGGTGATCATATCGGGTGAGTTTACTAGATTAAAAGCTACATCGAATTTTATTTCGATACTGAGTTATTATTTATATTGATATATTCCTTACGCACTGTAGACAAACTTCTCCCAATAAATTCGATCTCCACCTTCTTATTCACAAGATTCTTACTATCGATTCTGCAAAACCTGAAAAACGCACTCAATTACCTCTGCATCCGTTGACAATTTCTTTTGATGAAAGAAAAGGGTTCTTGAGCTATGATGTTACTTTATTACCAGAGGTATGTATTGCTTATTCTATAAAGTATCCTATTCTGTTCCCCTGTAACACAATTTAACATTATTTATTATAGGCAATTACTCGCTTTATAATTATTCGGGGAAATTACCACGCTGTAACGTTATGCATTTATGGTAGGGTTGTTGAAATGAATAGACCTCAAATCGTAAAAAGTAAAGAATCGATAGGGGCTTCAACATTTATCGAAACACAAAATAATAAAAAGGATCATGGAGATAATTTTATCAACAATGGAACGGACATTTCTCTTGAAAAGCAGAATATGCATGTTTCTGTACCTAGTTCAACGATCGTAAATAATAACAATGGAGAAAGGATAGTTGATAAAGCATCTGATAGTAATAAGACGGTGAATAAAGAGAACGAGGCTATGATAGATGATGCCAGTTTAAATAAGACATCTACAAGTCACAATACCACAATGGATGGTGTTCAAAAGGAGCGGACTATACCATTCGTAGAACCAACTTTATCGGTTAATGAAAAAGCGTCTATCGAGCATCAATTTAGCACACCAATGGATGTTGATACCTTTTATTTGGATGATGGGATAAGAGACGTCTCCGATGCTGAGCGAATAGGAATATTATTAAGAAAAGATCGTTCAGAATCTTTCAGAATTTTAAATCCTCATACTTTGACAAATTGTATGGGACTCGATTTAAAAGTTAATGAGTCAAAAGATTTACTTGTGGTAATATATATTCTACCTAGTATTTGAATGTAAATCTATTAATTGCTAATATAATTCGTTTCTTGATAGTTTCATTCATCACCTGATGAAACAATTTTATCATCCACATTACGTACATTTTCTGAAATCGAATTTAAAAAGGCATGGGATGATTTTGTTGACCGTGTTCAAAATGTCGATTCATTGATTTCTACTTTGTTAAACCCTAACGTAGAAGGAATGGTTGTTACTAATGCATTTGAGCTAGAACGCATTGTGAATTTATTGGTGGAATTATTTCATCAAATATCTGATGTAATCATAGAAGGTTGTCTCTGGGCAAGATTTCAAAGTGTTCGATATGATGGTAAGAAAAGTATATTTCAATGTAACATTCTTATTTCAGAGTTATTGTTAATGGATATTCTTTGTTATCTTGTAGATAAATTGGATATATTAAATAAATCTATTCTACTCGCTCTAGATATTTCAGCAGGAAAGGTGAACCATCGTTGGTTATTTTTGTTCTGATATAAAAAAAAAATAATAATATGATGTCACGCCAGGCGTAATGTTGATTGCTGGCGATTATCCATTCTACCAGTTCTAATTAATGTGCCGCAATCTGACAGTCTTCTGTAAAATTATTTGAAAGTGGCCTTACCTTATTCTGCAAATTATGTAAATGTGGTGAAGACTTCATAAACCTATCATTGGTTAGTATGAAGAAATTATTTACAACTGTATAAATCAATTATAAAAATCTAATTCTACTCTCATACAGGTTCAGTCCAGCCTAAAGCTCATGGTTCCACTTTTAATTGAACCACACGTATCTTCTATTCTACAGACGCGAATACTTCGAGGTTTATTAGAATGCATGGAAGAAACAAGAGTTGTGGAAAGCCTCCTTGGATGGTGTGATAAGAATTACGGTTATGATACATTATATAAAACTTATATCTTACCGATGCTTCAAGTCAAAAGGTTATCATCGCGGGCCTTACATTTACTTCAAGCAATTGTGAAGAAGGTATCTGTGTACGAGGCCTGTACGTTAATTCAACAAATGGCGGACAATGAATTGCGACACGAATCAAGCCGTAGGAAAAATGATATGAAAAATGATGTAACAAGTGACGACATTCAACATGATGCTAACTCTATGCTAGTGGACGAAAATCCACAAGAACAAGATGATGTTGAATTAATAATCGAACAAGTTATCGATTGCCTACAAATAATATCTAAAGCAGCTCTATATCATTTGGCCTTAAATTCGAGCGATGAATTAAATCAGGATTATCCTACTACTTTTTCTTTTAGATATTTAACTTCATGTCGTCTTTTTTCTGCAATTACAATTTTATTATCTTCTCAGCGTATACGAACTTGCTCAAGATTTCACGAGCTAGTAAATTCTCTCGGAAAATTATGCATTATTCTGTTGGGCGCACCTGTCGGAATGCTTTACTTAGCTCAACAATTGCAGCAGTCCCGAGACCAGCTTGGCAACAGCTTAATAACTATTTGGTCCAATCTTTTGTGCCAACAAAACCAAGAGCTAAATTTACAAGACGAAAATGAAGAGCCTTTTACAAACATTCATCCTATATCTAACGAAGGCTGGTCGGATGTAGATGAAATAAGGCGAACTCCAGGTGTCGGTGATATTTGGTGTGGTCTTGGCCAATCCACATCTGGAGGTAATTACGATGAGGATTATGATTATATATGTGATTACAGTGAAGATGAATCGCCAATCAATGATGAGGAAAATTATATTGTAAGGAAAGCAAGACAAATCTTAAAAATGCAAAGTTACGGAGCCATCGGTTCTGAATCAGATTGCCTGGACAAATGCATAATTCCTCCCGATCAATTGGTCATTCTATTAATTAACCAAATACATTCTGTTTCCGTTGTTGAGAGACTGTTGGAAATTGGGCGAAGAGGATTAGGCAATATCATTAATTATCCAATCATAATGGCATTACTATGCGATTTATTTGAAATGACTACTTTTAACGTTGGAAAGCAGGTGCATAAATTATTCAAATTCGCTTATTAGTATCTTAGGATCATTATGATGACTACCCTTGTTGATATTTTCAAATTGATAGGCAGTGGCATCGACGATTATATATCTTGATGCTCTTCCGACCATTTTGTCTCTCGTGAATGTCGCTCCTGTTCAAGACACTACTTTGATTTCCGCTGCAAGCGATGCATTAAATGCATTTGGCCGCATACCTTTGGAGCTATTAGAATTGGCGATTAAATTCTCTCAGGCATTTCCGTTCTTGCTAACTCACCAAATGCATGAATTGCTATTTTCGGTCGCGTCCTCAGAAAGCAACTTGCGTTCCTTGTGGGAACCAATAGCTGTGTTTCACGAGACTGGAACAATTCAAGGAGTCATTGACATCATCAAGCATCAGAAGTATTATCCTGAATGTTTGAGAGATCATCATGTTGTTAATCAAATCTTAGTTGCATTAAAACTTCTTATGTCTTACACATACACTGAAGGTGGTATATTGCAAATTTTGAAGGCCAGAATGGATGACTTTAGTGGATTTGATAATGGTGATACTTTCTTTGTATTTTTGTTAAGACTCTTGAATCATTCTGCAGAGATTCTCTCTGATATGAGTGACTTTGTTGTCTATGCTGACCACCAAACTACTGCTGAACCAGCATTTGCAATGACTAATGATGAACAAACATCAAACAATCAAGAACACATAAAAAGTCAAGAAAATCTAAAAACTAATGGAAACACGACTGAAAATAATAAGAATGACTCCCAAAGCTCAAATTTTGCAACTTCAAGCGTTGTTTTATCATCCGAAGTATTTGAACATCGGAGAGTATTATTAGATTTAGTATGGCATAATTTAATATTGATACGTAGGCTTCTTCGAGTTGTTTACGGTAATCCTAAAAATAGTGCTGCCAAAAGGCATTTCAAAAATATTTATGGAAAAGACGAACTTCCTGATGATCCTTTGCCATCTCAAAAAAAATCTATGATTCAAATATGCATAGAGCCCTTGTTAATGCTTATGTCTGCGTTAGATCATTTAGATGGACGTTTAAACGATCAGCTTGGTGCTGTTTCTTTGCTCGGATGCGATCAACCTTTCAGAAATGGACAATTGGTTCAAATTGCTAGAGTTCGTGGGCTTCTTTTAGGCATGTTTGGGTTATTATCGCAAGTAATCATTGAAGAAAAAGATTCTACATCGATTGATATGATTGGAGTGTTCAAATGTCGTTCGCGATTTTTCTCTGATTTCGCAGGACGTCATATTGTGAAACATTTGTTCAATTTCATTTTTGAAGGGCCTGATAATTTTTTAAGTGGATTGCATATACTTAATGAAATTTTACCGGTTCCTTTACTGAAAAATCAAAAATATCAGCAACAAAGTTCTCAAGATTATGCAGGAATGATGATACCAGATGAAAATCTTAATTTCATAGACGGATACAGCTTATCTGCTAGTTTTAGCGATGTCCAAATGGAGGCTCAGATTCTTAGAGATTATTGGGTCGATCAATTACTTCCATTACGAGACGACATCATGCAGCTGATTAAAAGTCTTGCTCCTGCTAGTTCAAAAATTATACATATTATGCTGAGAGCGGTTATTTGCCAACTTGTTGACTTAGACGTTCATGATAGAGGCATAGGTAGAAGTGTTGTTTCCATAATTGTCAATGAAGTTCGCAAAGTACTTATACAATGCCAATCCACCCTTGAAAAAATCGAAAATCAAAAAGTCAATCTAAATGCTGACGAACTAAAAGAAGACACAGAACGAGCAGATGATACTATTGAGTCATCATCTGAATTAGAAACAAAATTAGCATTATTTGGGCGATGGATGAGTCTTTTGACATCATTAGCAAGTAATCCATCAGGAAAATCAATAATACTTGATTTTGTTACTGATACTGTTGATGATACGTTAAATTGTATTGATAAACAAGGATTACCTGAAGTTTTGCGTGGATTATTGTCCTTATTTTTGGACTTTATAAATACCAATAGCACCGCGAATTTCGTATATGATCTTATTATGGAATTTTTATTTTTAATATGTAATCATTCTATAATAAGTTCTGGGGCTGTTATCCCTGCAATTGATGATCTATCACTTATTATTGACAATTTATTGGATTATGTGAAGATAGGAAGGAATGGCCGGCTTCAGAATCAATCATTGATCATTTTGAAAAAAATAGTAGAAACAGAAATAGGTGTATTAATAGTCTTAACTAAACAAGAATATCGGCAATTTATTGGTAATATGATTACCTGGGTTCCAAATCTTTTAAGATCACCAGATCTCAGAATGCAGGACTTGAATATTGCATATAACTTAGTGGTTTTTATTCTAAAGGTCATCTCGTATATTCCTCGCATCGACGATGAATCCACTGACATTGAAGAAACTAACTCGCTATCAATGTTAATTGAAGCTCATAAAGATCTCGAAATTCTTAATGCATTTGACAATATCGAACAACATGTTCTCGAGCTTTCATTCGATTCAAATCGTATTGATGAGGACATTATACTTGACAATCATTTATGTCAATCAATTGTTAATGTAATCCGTACATTAAAAGAGCATTTGCATGCCTATGCTCGCATATTAAAACAAAACGACCATTCAATCAACCGAGATGATGTTATAAAAAAATATGACCTGAGAATGCTAGAAGTTGCTAAAACACTTCATAATGACAATGTTTCATCAAACAATGGGATTAATAGAGCAAGTAATTTGGGTGCAATAATTGGTAATCTGATCATCATAATTTATTTATTCGTTTTTTTTATCTTTATTTTATTATAATTATTTTATTTGTTAATTTGTGCAGATGATTATCCAGATATTCCTTTTTACGATGTTGTGGAGGATCCTGAAGGAAAAGACATTGTGGGTGGATTATTTAATGAACCTGATGTAGATATAGATTTTGATGCTTTTTCTAAAGAGATGTTACCTAACTTCCAATTTCATAAAAAAATGAAAATGTCTGAGGATAATACGGCCACAGGCAGGAAACTTTTAAAAACACGCACATTGAGCAAACTAGGTGGCATCGCATACGAGAGCAATGCACGAAGAAATCTTGGAGGAGGTAAAACGTATCAAAAAAATGAATTTCGTAGCATACATAACAACCGAAAAGCGAATACCAGTCGTCCACCTTCGGTGCATGTAGATGATTTTATGTCTGGAAAAATCCCAGCAAACCAGCAACATCCAGACATGATGACCCCAGCATCCACAGCTACGACATCTGCTGCTAATGTAACAACTACAAAAAAAATGAATGTTTCCAAGCGCGGAGGAATCACAACAGCAGTTCCTAGCGCTCAAGTAACTACAAGTAACCGTGGCGGACGCGGACGACGACCCAGTACGAGTTCAACATCGACTTCACGCGGTGCTTCACGCGGTGCAAGTAGCAGTGGTCGAGGTGGAAGTGGCGTTGGAAGAGGAGGGGCCTCAAATGCTGGTATGATTGGTGCGTGGGATATTGGTAGTTCGGCAACTTGGACTGGAGGCCCTCCATCCCTCCCGATGTTGATGGGTCAGCCAATATCAAAATATAATATTGGACGGATAGACGGCCAACGTGATTATACCCGTTATGATAACCAAACCATGCGTACGGGTTATTACGATAATCAATATTATGGCATTCCATCGCCAATGACACCTTATGATCGCCCACCTGTACCACAATCTGCACCAGGAATAGGTCCTAGAATCAAAGGAGGAAGCGAAAACAGAGGACGAACGATTGCACAAGAATGGCCTCCACGTTCTGTTACCTCTCAACCAGCACGACGGCCTGAGCGTCCGTTTGGTAGAAGATGAATGATATAATTATTGAATCACATATTCTATAGGCTATAATCTACTTTCTTTTGTATCAGACATTTATTTATGTAATATCCAGTAGTTATTTTATCAGGAATGGGTCAAACCTTTTGTATTAAAAATTTGAGATGTTTATCATGTGATTTATTAGAAATCTTATACTGTAGTTTAATAGGTTTATATACTATGATTTATTTTAGGTTTTTACTATATATATATAGTTGTACTGAAAACGTAAACGTAATTACAGTAAACACATGATGATTCACATGATGATTTCTAATCTCCAATCAGTCTATCGTAGCATTATTCAATATTGTTAGTCATTACTACGATTTTAGTTGCTTATTGAAAAAGTGGCACGACACACACAATAAAACTCCGACAATCTTTTTTTGCTAGATTTTCGAAGTTAAACTTACAGATATTTATGTCAACATCATCAACGTCTTCATAAAAAAAAAAAAAAAAAAACTGCTTGATTTTTCGATTTGACGAAAAGGTCTATATTAGAATCGGCCAATAGAATTGGGCCAAAATACCTATTAATACCTAAATCCTACTGGCATTGTCAAACTCACAGACCATATCTATAAATAGGGTAACAGATCAAATACTATCGTATTCCCAAAGAAAAAAAAAATTGCTAGTTTTTTTTTACATTGGTGGCTCTTGTGAATTCTAAACATCACGTTTAATAGCGACAATACCATATAAATGTCGGATATAAACGTACAGAATCTTTCTAATAAACAAAATGTTTTAAACGAGTCAACAGAAGTTGACACTACAAATAATAATGACACCACTTTATGTGTTTCGCCGTATCCTTCATTAATAAATGATGCGTCCACGTCTTTTAACCTATCATCGGTTGAGAATCGGACAGATTTTAGTGAGCAACCTTTTAACCAAGAAGAGCTTAATAACAACATAACGAAAGAACAGCTAACGTCTCAGAGTTTTACTCAAATAATTGAAGAGAATGTTATATCTCATGATCAAAACGAAGAGCAACTTAATAAAGGCTCTCAAGAGGATGTCGATAAATTAACTAACTACAAACAGGAATCAACATGTCTTGATTCTGCCCAAGAAGAAATAGTTACTGTACTCGGTGAAGGAGTAGTTAATACTCCACCGAGTTCGTGTATGATAGAGATAGAAAATCAGCCAAAAATGCCTTTATCCGTCTCTGATAATAATACTATACAGACCCAAGTTTCGCTTGAACAATCTGTCGAACCAGACTGTCAATCCCCAACGCCAGAGTTATCCAATATTCCACAACTATCCCTTGAGCAATCATTACCTAAAACTGGATTAACTAATCAATGTGAAATTAACAATATGGATACAGATGAGATTCTCGTTGCCCCAATTGATCAAGATTCAATTGATAAATCTTTTCACACAAAAACAACAGATCCTTCTGACGTCCCAAACAATGTTGCTACTACAAGTGATACGTTACATTGCGAATTTGGCCCAGGTTCAAATCCTAATACTACCGAAAACACATCTTCATGGAATAATTCTGTTAATAATTCTACGGAATATAATTATGGCAAAGAACCTCGTAGATGGCGAGGCCGTCGTTCCCCAAGTTCTCAAGCTGACAATGAGAAATCTGACCATAAAGTTCCATTTAGTCTGCCTAAATTAACTGACGCAGAATTTCAGGCCTTGCCATCTGGATCACGTTTATTTTTAGGAAATTTGTCCACACATTCAACTTCAAAAAAAGAACTTTATGACATTTTTTCTCCTCACGGGGAAATCTTGCAAATCTCTATAAAAAATAGTTTTGGTTTTGTTCAGTATAATAATCCAGAAAGTGTTAAAAAAGCTATTGAGAAGGAAAACGGTAGAGTTTTGCATGGATTGAAGTTAGGCAAGTATTTTGTTCGGTACTTAGAAACGCAATGGCTAGCCTTATAATTTACTTGTACATGAATGATTGATTAGGTTTGGAAATTTCTCATGGTAAGCCGTGGCATCATTTATCACCAAATGAAGATGGGTCCAAACCCTCATTTGCCAACCGGCAAGAAAAACATTGGAATCAAAGAGGATGTAAGGAAGATTGGTACCAGAACGACCGTGATTATCCTCCAGGGCGAGGACATCAAGGCCAATCTTATCCAGATCGCCGATATGATGATTACGATCGTCGGAATCCTGATTATAAATTTGACCGCCGTGCTTCATATGATTCAAGAGGTGGTTATGAATATTCTGATCAGAGAGATTATCGTTCTCCACAAGAATATCGTGGTGACTATAAAGATGAACACGAATATCGACCTCGTGACGAGAGAGGATATCGTCGTAGTTCATATCGTGATGAACATCGTGATGAAAGATATGCGCAACGTTCAAAGCCCTATAGAATTCCTTCCAGGGATTATATGGAGCGAAGACAAAGTCGTGACCATCCTTATCGGTCTCAATCTCATGATGAACCGGATGATGAGTTTCCTTTACCTCGGCGCCAAGGAAGTGATGTTCCTGAATGTCAAATAATCGTACTCGAAGAAGTGGAACGGTGTGTCTTTTGTCTATAACTAATTCAATACGACGCGGTTTTTTTTCAATGGCCGTCACCAGAAGAACTTCAATTAAAATGTACTATCCCATTTTTATCAAATAGTAATTTTCTTTGGCAAGTAGAAAGTTCTTTCCGCGACGCAAATATCACTGTTCATACCCTTCATTTATCTCGAAAACTTCATATTCAAGCTGTTATTCGCCAAATGATTGTTGAAGGTGTTCACGCGGTTGTTTTCATGGAACGTCACAATGCAATAAACGGTCGAGTAAATATGCAAATATTCGATCAATCTCGAGTAAGAGATAATGTAAAATATGATGGTCAGTATTCATAAAAGATTTTATTGCAATGTTTTCTGCAATGATTATGCTAAATATATATCAAACTATTTTATATCTTTAAGAATACAATAATATCAAAGTTGATGAAGCAGTTAACCTTTTATTGAGAACTCGTATCCTGCAACGGCAAGGCGATCTTAGACCACCAGATAACCTATTGCTTAGTGGTCAACCAAATTTATCACAATCACAACAAGGACAGCCAGGTCCAGCTGGTCTTCACCCAATATCTTTAAGCAACGTTAATTTTGCTGCACTTGCAAATCTCCTTGGGACTCTTCAGCAACAACAACCACCCACTAATCCTAACCAGGGAATTCAACCAATGCCGATGATTCCACTAGGAGGTATTCAACCTTCTCAGCCAGGTTTGTTGAACCAACAACAGCCTCAAAATATCGATGTTCAACAGTTACTTAGACAGCTTGCACCCCAAAACACCGGGATTCCAAACCAACCTCCTTTTATGCCTGTGCCTCCACATATGGCACCTAATCTTGGCCCACCACCTTCACCTTATAATGCCCCAATGGTGGGCCAACCTCCCAATATCGTTCCTCCTAACCCCATTACACCTAATGGGTTGTCCCTATCTCAGCATCAATCTCAACATATTAATCCCAATGTACCGCAATTTTCAACTACAATTTCTACTGCTTCTAATGTGACAGACTTAATGGCACAGTTCAAGCAATATAGCAATCAGCGCTAGATAGAATAGGTATTAGTTATTTCATATGACTCCAATTATTTCCAACATTCAATGGTTTACTATATTTGCACGTCTATTATCTGTTTCACGATATCTTTTACATTGAGAAAACGCATCTTTTTATAGATTATATGGATACTTCGAAGGATTGTCGACGTTCGAGTTATATTTAAAAGCAATTGTTTCCATCGGTTTTCTGTCCTTTTACATATCCTTTTGCTACCTACAATCCGTATAAGGAAATTATATATCGTTTTTTCTTTGCCCCTCAATATTAAATAAAATGTACAGTCAATAATGTCTCCAAATGAGTCGCTCGTTATCATGCTTACTCGGGTCAAGATCCAAAGAGTCTATACGTGCTTTCAATGCTGACTAATTATTATTAATAAATGTTTAGTATCAATTTGCTTATACAAGATACTGCATATTTTTTTCGCTTGGACGTTTTAATGAAGATGGCTCATTGTCATAACGTTTCGGTTATTAATGAAATTTTGTATACATTGTAAATATTTATGAAAAATTATATTATTTTTTTTTTGTGTACATAATAAATTCAAATATACTGTAATATTAAGTTTATTCTTTATAAAATATATGAGCATTATTGAGTTATGTCTGCATGCCAAATTTTACAAACCAATTTGATATACTATATATATACAGTATATTAATTTAATAATGTTAAAAAATATAATATAGTATATATACTGCATATGTAAAAAATTGCTAGTTTTATTTTACTAAAAACAAAAAATTTATATATAGTCAACTCCTTCTAAATGCACGTCCTCTAAGTGCAAGCTCTCTTTAAATGCAATAAAAAGACTTGGCCCAAGTTGAAACTTATAAAATAAATGCAAGATTTTTTTCTGTAAATGCAAGATTTTTTTTTAGCTAGCATATATAAAATTATTTTCTCTAATTGCAAGATATTTTATTAACCAATTAAACTGACTTATTTAATTAAAGTTTTTTTTCTAAGTGCCAACTTATAAACTTGCATTTAGAAAGAATTAATATATATTAATTTAGTTCTTTTTAATTGCAAGCTCTTTCCAAATACAAGATACAGTATTTTGCTGGCCCATTGACTTGCACTTAGAGAGAGTTGGCTATATAAATATTTTAATTAGTTAAAATATTGTATAACATTTATAGTATAATATTAATTATATTAGTAAGTTAATTTAAAAAAAATAAAAATTAGTATAAATTTACATATAATATATATACAGTATATATTGCTAAAAATATTTGGTTTATTTTTTTTATTTTTTTTTTAAGAATTATTTTATTTAAAGTTTGAAACTAGTTTTATTTTTTTTATGTTAAACCCAGTTTTAATTAGATTTAACTTATAAAAAATAAAACCAATTCCAAACTC